AACAATTTTAAAGCAAGTTTTTATGTTTATCAAGGTAGGTAAAAATAAATTGTACGATCATAAACCAGTCACTGAAACCAGGATTCTGCGTAATAGATAATTTGGCAGTTCCAATAATTTACTGCGCAGAATCCTGGAGTCGGTGACGGGTTTCTGTTAGTTATTGGAATAGAGACCTTGTGTAAAATCCCTTTTCTTTAGGGAAAATACCGCCAATATTTACAATACTTACCCTTATATCGGAAAAATTAGGCTTTTTATCATAGATGGTGCCACAAAGACGATCATTATTTCAAATTGTACTAAATTTTCCCTGATTTGACTTAAAATGTACTTATGTACTATCACAGCTTAACAATACAGCTAAAACACTCTCTTGGCGGCAACGGTTTGCGTCGATTTCGTCGCGCATCGCTTAAGCTCCGCCTTCGAAGGGAAAAGACGGTTTTGGCGTTCAGAAGTGTACTTAGGTAAGGTGTTGAGTCGTGCGTATAATTTCGTTGATTGTATAATTTCGTGGAGCCTATAATTTCGTTGATTTTGTTTGAGTTAAAGATACTGTTATTATTTTGGTGACTCTTTAGCTATGAGTAGAATGACTGAAAAAAAAAAGACATCATTCTGTTTGTGCAGTCAAAAGCTGTTTTAATAAGGGTTATACCTGCAAGAAAACATTCTTTAGTTTTCCCAAGGACCCAAACCGATAAGTACCACATTATAAGAAATTTTCATTGTTAAAAATATAATTTATACAGGGTATCCCATTAGTGCGTTATTGTTCATTATTTTGTTGTAGACACGCAAGAAAGTTTTAAATAAAAGTTATATGGATTTGAAAAATACCTACATATTTTAAAAATATCTTTGGATATACAGGGTGTCACGTTTTTGCCTGGCAAATTAAAATGTATGTTTTTTAAATGGAACACCTTGTATTTTATTTTATGATGAAATTATTAACACCCTAAATTATTGTAAAGACGAATTGCTACAGAAAATTTTTATCAGGTATGTGTGTGGTTACCTTTTAATAAAAGCCTTGCGGATCCACTCCTGCGATACCTGTCTTAAATATAACAAAGATCACGTTGAAATAGATGATTTTTCTTTTTATTGCTTTTTAAAGGCATATGATAACGCCAATTCAGATACATTTGGAAATCTGCAACTGTCAAATGATGAATTTGTAGAACTAATATTCAATATTGAAAAGATATTTCAAAATAATTTTGAAGAATTGGCTACAAAAAATAACATTTGTACCACACTTTTAGAATTAATTAACCCAATAGCTAACGTTTTCCAAAAGAATAACTTATTTTATTGTATGTTTAATCTCAATAACTAAAAAATATACTGACAATTAGTTTGACAGAATTGTCATTTATTTAAAATTTTAAAAATAATAGCAGTCGGTTGATCAAAATATGAACGGTGATTGGCGAATTTATTTTTTTTGCAGTGTTCTCACTACCTAGCATGGATATGAAATATATTCGTTCAATTGAAGGCAATAGCATACTTTTTCGTTTTGTAATCTGTGCATGGATATTAGCCAATCTACGCACATACTACAAAACGAAAAAGTATGTTATTGTGTTCAACTACGAATATATTTCATATCCATTTTAGGTAGTAAGAACACTTTAACAAAATTAAATCTACAAATCACAGTTCATATTTTGGTCACCCAACTCCTATTAATTAAATTTTTTTAAATAAGTGACAATTCTGTTAAACTAATTGTCAATATATATTTTAGTTATTGATATTAAATATACATTAAAATTTTTGTGCAGACTCGATAAATAATAGCATTTTTGTTTCTATTGTGTCCACATTTAAAAAAAAATAAATTTTAATTAAACTACATGATACTAATTTAATTACGAGTATTAAAACTAAAGTCCTGAAAGTTTCGGTGAAGATGAAGACAGAGCATCTGCCTTCCACGCGAAAAGTCCGGGATCGAATCTAGGCCGAGGACTAATTAATTTTTCATGTTTATTTTATTTTATAAATTAGTCAACTTCGTAAATTATTTTAAAATTAGTTATTTTGTCTAAATAACCTAAAATAATTTTTTAAATTTGTAGATTTTCGTTAGTGGGTCGTAGAAAAAATATACTGACCATATCGAGTAGATTGTTCATATCACAATCAGACGATTGAGTTCTCCGCCTACGACGTCGTGCTCAAACTTCGTCTTTGTGTGATATGGCTGTCATATCCACCCTTGTTGAACAAACTACAATTTATTTGTTTTCTTGGTTTAAGTTTTACATCAGAAATAGGAATTAAATTAATTTACTTTTCAAGTTTTCTTGTAAAAATCGATATTACTTTCTCCAAGTACAAATTTAGTACCTACCTAAAATAAGTACTAATTATGTTATATCTTGTAATATTGTAATTCAAATTTCACATTACTATAAAGTTTTAAAATTTCCTACTTCGGTATGGTCAGATAAAAATTGAATATATTATATTAATAAAAACTGTCAAATTATAACTTCTACAAATCTGTATTTCAAATAATAAGAATACATCTAAATATAACCAATATTGTTAAAACAAAAGCACACATTCTTTATAATTCCAAAATACCATAGAGTTCCCAGACTTCAGTCGAAGCATTCGTTTATCTAGGTATAAACCCTTTGCGCGAAGAGTAACACTTGCCAGAGACACGGGGGTACCACTTGATTTGCATCCACGAGCGTGACACAATTCTTTAACAATTGAAGCCCTTTGTGTAAAATGGATCCAAGCCACAATTTGTCGTGAAGTGACTGTTTTAGCTCAAAACATTTGTTAACGAGGATTTTACTAGCCATATATAAATTATTTTACCTCTAATCCGAAAGATGTGCTATTTTTCGTAATATTTATATTTAAATAATTTTTTTAATTATATTTGAAAGATTTAAAACAAATTAAAAATGTAATTTCCCAAAACTTACTTAATATGGCATGTGACCAACCTTATTACGCCAAGGTTTTCAATTTTTTCAATAATAAAAAAATTGTTTAATCCGGGCCCGACTTTTCCCTTGAATCTAACAGAGATAGCACCATTCCGTCTTGCTTGGTTCTCGACCGCCAGATCAAAGACGCCGACACGGAGTTGTGGAGCTGTATTGTATAAGCTGTGGTTCTTTCGTTCGTTGTTGGTGCAGTGTCCACCAGTGTAAATTACACCAGTTACACCATGTCGAGTGTAATTCAATGAACTGGAGTGGGGTAGAAAGCAATTGTGCATATTGTATCAAGTGAACAAGATGCAACTCTATGTGCGCTGCCAATTTTATTTCTCATCTCACTCGGGAGTATTTATAATAACCATTTTCTGTTTCACATTGTTATTGTTCAATCCACAAGCTGGTGGATCAGACAATAACAAAGTGAAATAGAAAATGGTTGTTATAAATACTCCCGAGTGAGATGAAAAATAACCTGTCTTATCCCATAGAGTCGCATTTCAAGCCTATTGACAAGCATTCTACCCCACTCCAGTTCATTGGTGTAATTCCGTTAGCACAAGAGATCGCACTTAAATGTCAATCGGTATGTGACCTTGACAATGTTCTGATTGGTGACGCCAGACTTGTCAAAAATACTCCAGACCAATAGGGAGGAGGCATCGAGGTCAACAATATTTTAAAACCAAAAAAAATATAAATTTTGTAATAACCACACTAATTTTGTCTTCAAGTGGCTTAAAACTTTTTTACTTTTAGATGTAATTTTTCTCATGCGTTAGCAACCAACGTGCTGATTGGTGACCCCAGACCAATAGGGAAGAGGTACCGAGGTCATTGAGATTTGAGTCAGAATTTAACATGGGAACATGGAGGTATAATACTAAACCTCATTGGGCATGTCTGACCTCTCTCTTGCACCGTATAATAATCAAAGTATGTGGTCGAGGCGCATAACAATTTGGACGCCAGATTGTCAATTTCGGGCATTCTACGTCACGTTTTTCACGGGCGTACTATGATAAATTATATTATTTTTTTTATTAATAACGCCCTATTTTAATAATTATTATTACAGGAACGTTTGTTTCAGCTGCGTATTAATCAAAAATAATTTTTAAGTAGTTTTCTTAAATTAAAAGGTGTCGTAGTTGAATGTAATAGGCAGGGGCGTGCGGTCCATGGAAGCGGGGGAAGCATCGCTTCCCTACACTTTGAGATTTAAAAATAAATATTTTTCACTTTACAATGCATAGAAATTAATATTAAATTAGGTACTATATTTTCTCTGAAACATTACGTAAACTTCGTAAATGTACTAATAATTCATCGGTGTAATGTGTAAACACACACACCACCCATGAGAAAATTAATTGTGTAAACGCACACACCATATACTTCAAGTCCGTCGGCGGAAGCGCGTTTTGAAAGAGCCGGTTCATCTTCCAAGAGGTTTCGTTTCGTGTTATTAACCCTGCTTTGCCGAATATCCGTAGTACTGAGGAAAAAAAGCAAGATGTTGACAAAATGGTGAATGCGTTACGAAAAATTTTGATAATCCTTTTTAGTGCATTTCGATACGCACATGTGGGCGCCGAACTGTCAAATATCACCTCGCTATGCGGCTTGATTTTGTTGATCGGCTTTGTTCTTCTAGTTTAAATAGCTGGTAGAGAAAAAATACACCAATGGACGCTTTCTTTTTTATAAGAGTGTGTCGAACGAAAGAACCTTGTGTCGCTACTATGGAAATTAAAGCTAGCGGATCTGCTGTTTTTTCGGATCCGGTTAAAGCTACAAATTCGCAAATTGCGTAACTAAAAAGCTACAAAAAAACTCACTGGGTCTTGTACGGTGTCGCCACAGAGTGCCCGTTAGCTTGATATAGCCCACAACTTCAACCGTTTGTGTTTCGACTCACTTGTGAAAGACGTCAGAGTTAGGTAGTCCATTTAACTCCTTACAATAAACGAACGCTTTTACAATGTCACATGTGTCATATGTCAAATAACAAAATGTGTCAAATGTCAAAAGGTGAGTTTATTTTTTTTGGTAGCAAGTGTGAATGTAGATTTTTAGAATGAGAATGATATGAACTTAAAAATGTAAATTTTTCTCACTTTAAATAAATAATTCAAAGTTTAGTTTGATCAAAAACAATCAAAATGGTTAGTAAAAGGCGTCCAATTCACGCAACAAATTTAAATTTTCGACCGAACATGAATAACCTAAACAATAGCAGTGATCCAAATCCAAAAGGTACTAAACCAACAACCGATCCTACTTCTGTGAAGGAAATTCTTGTGTTAATGGTTTTGCATATTTGTAAAAAGTCATTATTTTTTGACACTAATTTAAAAGTGGGAATATATTTAGCATGCCTTTTCCTTATATCTCTAATAGCTGATGTGTTAATGATCCCAAAAACTTACCTCTCACGATCTGATAACCTGTTTAACAAGGTATTTGTCAAATTTGCATGGGGATGGAATTTAACATTGTTAGTCCCGTTTGTTGTCCTCACGTCTTTAATTTATTGCTGTGGAAACAAGGAAAAGATTATCAAGCAGCATTTACCTAGATTAGGTATAGCTACATTTTTTTGGTGGTTCTGGACGTCTCTTTTCAATTTTGTTGAAGCATCTTTTGGTCGATGTGCAAGTGTCAATTATTCTACAAAAAGTTTATGTCTTCGAGAGGGCCATGTATGGAATGGCTTTGATCTATCTGGACATTCATTTATATTAATTTATGGAAGTTTACTTCTTATAGAAGAAGCTCGGTGCATAGTTAATTGGGATAGCATTAAAGAATATATAAGATTGGAAGAACATCAACGACAAACCAAAGAAGTAGTTGAAAAACCAAATCCCTTGAGGAATCTAACAAGCACTGAACTAAAAGATATTAAGCATAATTATGAAAAGTTTACACCTTATATTAGGATGTTATGTATTTTAATTGCAATTGTTCAAATATTGTGGGATGTGATGTTGTTTTCAACCATGCTTTATTATCATATTATGGTAGAAAAGTTTCTTGGAGGAGCATGCGCCATTTTAACATGGTTTTTCACATATCGTGTATGGTATACTAACTTGTCTCTCTTGCCAAAACTTCCAGGGGATGGAAGTTTTAAATATATTAAAAGTACAAAAGCAAACCAACCAGCTACATCTGTCAAACCCAGAAGAAAAGAAAGTTTAATAGACCAGGGGCCATTATTTATGGGTAGACCAATTTATGCCAATTTAAAACCTGATGAGGGAGCCTCAGCATCAAGATAGCATTCTTTTTATTTATATTATTTTAATTATAATTGTTTTTGTTGTTTTGTTAAATATATTTTATTTATAAAAGAATTAAGATGAATGGGTTTGTTACAATTTGTTTGACAATAAATTAAAATAAAATGGTACATATTTGATTTGGAAACAATATGTTGTCATCAATTTAAAACAGTTATCTTGAGGTAGGTGAGTACTCACTATGTTGTCGACATTTATGGTTTCTATTTATTATAGAGGTACTTACTTTCCATTCTATTTAAATGCAAGTAACCCATAAACGCAACTAGCCCCTTGACTACAGCTTCATATGTATATGCCTTACTGCTATTGGCCAGTCTAGTGATCCTGTTTTGAATTTTTTCCCACCCTTTAGCTCCATTTGCTGTGTTCATGTGCTAGTTGTGTTTGTGCTTTAATTATTATTTCCTTTATTTAGCTAGTTTGCGAATATCACAATATACAAATTTAGTAAAAATATGTCAAAACATAGATAATCTCCATACAATTAAAACTAACTAAAATTCTATAGGTTGTTACTGTTTCTAGAGAAATATTCAACAATTAAGAAATGTCACTTTGACTTTAAATGTAGTTACAGACATTGCTGATTTAATTTTCTCTGGAAGTGCATTATATTGATTTAAACCTTTAAAAAATAGTGAATTTTGTGTTGCACTCTTTAACAACTCAACAACTGTTTCAATACAAAAGTTATTTCTGTTCCGCATTGGATAATTGTGTACATTAGAGTCATAATTAAGCTTCTCTTTTAGGTACATTGGAAGTAACCCCTGTTTGATTTTATAAATAAAAATTAATGCATTTCGTAATATGTTTCAAGCATTAGATTAATGGAAGTATATTTTGAACAGGATAATATTATTCACATAGCCCTATTCTGCAGCTTCTGTAGTCAATTCAACTCACTTTGATTTAGTAAAAAGAGTATTGTAGAGCAATAATTAAAGTGAGGTAGAATTATAGTCCATTGTGATAAGCCAAATGAACTTCTAAATAGGAAATTTAACTTAATAGTTCTGATAACAGTGTTGCATGATCTATGAATCTCATCTGCTTGTCAATCATTCCCCCTAAGTATTTGAATTTTTCTACTAACTATAGAATTTCCTCCAATTATTATATTATATTGTTTATCAACAAACTGTATAGTTATAGTTGCTACTTATCAGCGTACATTTTGTTTTATTTGTGTTAATTTTCAACAAATTATTGCAACAACATTTATAAACAAACATATTGCAGTGTTTCATTAACAACTCTTACCAAGTTATCTGAATCCTTACAAGAAAAATATATTAGGGCATCATCAGCAAACAGGTGATTGTCACATTGACCCTTGAAATCAACAATATCGATACGTTTTTGCCAGACTAACGTAAGCGACATTTGTTCAAATGGCACTTATAATAGTCTGGCAAAAAGGTATCTGTATCATTGCTATACACCACAGCTTATTTACTAGTGAATAAGCTGTGCTATACACTAAAAACAACAGGGGACCCAATATACTTCCCTGCGAAACACCTCTGAATAGTTAATTCCCTCTGATAAAATGTTATTTACTTTTAACTTTTGTTTCCTCTTACTTAGATAATCCACAAACCACTCCAATTAGGGTTGCCAACTTTGTTTTTTATTTTTTCTGAACCATGGTAATTAAAATTCAGGACATACGGTATAAATTCTGGACACTTTTATTTTTGCAAAAACAACAAACTTAAATAAACAATTCGACAAATAAAAACGAAGTGATAAAAAACAATAAGGATTCTTCGGATAAATAGATAAACATTTTATTTAAAAAGGACACAAGAAGAATATAAAAAGTTACAGCTACTTAACAGTGTCACTGCGTTTAAAATCAATTTTTTTCTTTTTGCAGATACAATTAATTTCCTGTTAGCTTTTAAAAAATTATACAAATAATTATTCTCTATTTGAAGTTCGGCCTTGATGTGTTCAATGGACAAGCGATTACGCACCTCACTCCATGAATCTGAACACATTGGACCCAAATATAGAAAATACAAATTACTAAATAAGCGACGTTGCCAATGTGACTATAAAATATAAGAAATTGGAGATATTTGAAACACTAAAATTAAGTACAATAAGCGTCCTGCTATAAGTTGTTACAGGACACTGAACAAAACACCCCAAATGGTGGACGTCCACCGAAATGCAGGACGGTTGGCAACCCTAACTCCAATGCTTGCTCTACTATACCCATACTTTTCAATTTTTTTTATCAAACCTTTAAGATTAATAGAGTTTACAATAGATTACACAAGGCAACAAAAAAATATTTTTTTCGTGCCTGGGATTTTAGAGCTGATTTTAACTATATTTGGGACGCTAAATCTGTACATGCAATCCGTTTTTCTCTATCAGCTCCACTTTTTTAGATACATCAACTTATCTACCAATGTGGTTTTTATTCAGTATATTAATTTATGAGAGTTCTAAAATTATTATATATTCATTAATGTAGGTACAATGGTTCTATTGTCAGTCTGTACCCAGACAACACACCAAATCCCAGAGATATCCACAGAATATCTTTTGTGGATATCCAATATATATCCACAGGATATCAGAAATATTCCGTGGATCTAATATGGATATCCAAATGTCCGTCTATATCCAGAAAATAGAAGATATCCTAATGGATATCCAGCAAAATATCTAATGGGTATCTTCCAGAAAATATAAGAAATCCCAGAGATATCCACAGAATATATTTTGTGGATATTCAATATATCCAATATGGATATATCCAACCAAATGTCCGTCTATATCCCAGGATATAGAAGATATTGCTATATAATTAGTATTATTTATGGACATTTGCATGTCTATAAATTACATATCATGGATATAAAATAGATATCCACCATGGACTGGACATTCAGTGGATATTGGGATGTGCAGTAGATATCCAAAGGATTTGGTGTGCTGTCTGGGCAGGTATCTCAATTTATTGAAAAAAGCTTCTGAAGTACTGGCTTCTAGGTTGGACGGCAAAAATTTATTGGAACAAGGAACCAAAATTACCTTACAAGAGAAAAGTATCTGCTACACCATTCTTTTCTCAAGAAGACAATCTTGTATTTTGTCACGAAATAAATGGACTCATGAAAGAAATGGGACTTTCGGAATATATTCCAGATGATTGGCGCCTATTTATTGACAGTTAAAAGCAAAGTTTAAAATGTGTCCTACATAATGGGAATAAATATGGTTCAATACCACTAGCTCACTCAACGAAACTGAAAGAAGAATATAATACCGTAGCTTTGGTCTTGCAGAAGATAAAGTATCACGAACATCAATGGATGATTTGTGTAGACTTAAAAATGGTAAACTTTCTTCTTGGGCAGCAAAGTGGTTACACGAAATATCCGTGTTTCTTGTGCCTCTGTAATAGTAGGGACAAAACACACCACTGGGTTAGAAAAGATTGGCCTCAAAGAGAAAACATGGACGTTGGGGAAAAGAATGTCATTAACGACGCTTTGGTTGAAAGAGAAAAAATCATATTTCCTCCGTTACATATAAAGTTGGGCTTAATGAAGCAATTTGTAAAGGCTTTTGATAAGAATGGGTCATGTTTTGCATATATAGGTGTAAAATGCATCAGTTGAGCACTGAAAAACTCAAAGCAGGGATATTTGATGGCCCACAAATAAGACAATTAATTAATGATCCTGCCTTCATAAATTCAATGAATCAAGTTGAACGAGAAGCTTGGACATCATTTGTTGCAGTTGTAGAAAATTTTCTAGGCAAACATAAAGCTCAAAACTATGTTGAAATGGTTAACAAGATGCTTTAATAGTTTCAAATCCTTAGGGTGCAATATGAGTATTAAAATACACTATTTACACAACCACTTAGACCGTTTTCCTGAAAATTTAGGAGACATGTTGATTATATTATAAAATCGCCATACATTATCGTCTCGATGATTATTATAATAATAATAATAACAATACTCTCCCTAATTCACCCCCTTACGAGTGAATTTCAACCCCTGAAGTCGACTGAACGACTTGTGTAGGGGAAGGGACGGCTATTATTATTATTATTATTATTTGCCGTGGCGCTCCGGGGCGACTTAAGGATGATTGATGGTGCCATTTGACTTACAGGTGAGGAAAACCCGGAAAACCTCATCCACCATCATCGAGACGATAATGTATGGCGATTTTATAATCTGCATGTCATATCAATAGAAATTGAATATCTATTAATACGGCACACATCAAATCCTAAACCAAACCATGCAATTTAATTAAAAATCCACATGGTCTGGTCTGGGGTTCGAAGCCCAGCATTCTCGGACTCATAAACTTGCCTATAAATGAATATAAGCGCTTTAGACCGCTACACCATCGACCCGATTGTTTTGACAGACTTGAAATGGCACAACAATATCAGATTTTACAATTTTTCAGAATCCATTTTTTTGTAATTTAATTTTTTATTCATAAATATTGGAAAGGGTTTGTTATAAAGGAACTATCACTTTCACGAGTTTTAATCCCAAATGCTCATTAAAAATGAAAAACCGTGAAGTTCTATTAAATTAGAGGGTGGAAATTGAAGATAGGGATGAAGATGCAACCGTTACAGTTTTTAAATTGTATCTCAAAAACGAAGCAAAATTAAAGTATAGCTAATAGGAAATTTTCTATAGAGAATGTGATATTCTATCGAAATAGTTAATTTTTTTATGTAAATAAATATAAAAAAAGAATTTAAAAAAGCAATATATCTAATTTTTTGTTTTTTTTTTTGAGTTTTCTGAGCAGATATAGGTATTATAGGCGTTGCTTCATAACAAAAATATTAAAATTAGTGGATCAAAAAAGTTTTTTTTGGATAGAACAGAGACATATTAGATATTTTTTCGATTTTTATCACGTTTACCTTTTAGTTATTTTTCACAACAAAATTAATTTTTTAATAAAAAAAA